CCGGGGTGTTATTTAATGTTGGGCTGCGGCGGGCGGCGTCTGGAACCCGCGGGCCGGCATGAGCGGGGGCCGCGGGGGCGCCTAGGGCACTGGAGGCGGCGCCGCGCGGGGGCAACTTCGCCCGGGAGCCCGCGCCGCCGGGCCCCGCGCCAGCAGCCCCGAGCGGGCTCGCGGTGGTTCCTCCCGTCCCGCGGCCTCCCCCCGCCGACTCCAGGCGCGGACCTTGGTCCTGGCGGCTCCGCGGCGGTGACACGAGCCTGCGCCGCCGCCGCCGCCGCCTCAGCCGCCGCCGCCGCCTTCCCCGCACCATGGAGTTCTCCGAGAGGAAAAGAAGCAGGAAATCCCAGAGCTTCAAACTGGTGAGCCGAGGTAAGCGGCCGCCCGGGCGGCGGGGGCAGGCAGCGGGCGCCGCGCCCTCGGCCGCCCGCGGGGGTCCACGCTGGGGGGCGCGCCCTCCCGGAGCCCCCGGTCCTCCCGGCTCGCCCGGTGCCTCCGCCGGGCTAGCGGGCAGGGCCGCGGCCGCACACGCCGGGCGGCGGGGAAAGTTGTGCGGGGGGAGCCGGGGTGTTATTTAATGTAAACAAGTCGGAGGGCAGCTCAGGAAATTAGCAAACAATGACACCGGGGGGCCCGAGCCCTCCTCGGGGCGCGGCCGGGGCGGCCGCGGACCTGCCTGGCCATCAGGCCGAGCGTGGACCCTCAGACCTGAGATTTGCTGTTTTTGTTTTCTGGGGTCTAACCACTTCCCCCCGCCAAGAGAAGGAGGAAAAAGGATGACCGTTGTTCTTTTTAAGAAGGAGAAAGAAGCTCCTGCCGTGTCCAAGCCCAAGGCGTAATTGTTGACATCCAACATCTCTAGCTAGCTGATTTGGGTTGGAAAGGTGTTTTAGACTACATCACGTAGCAGGCGGATAAGTATCCTTTAAAAAAAAAAAGAAAGAAAAGAAAAGACATCCAGCTAGTTCCTGATGAATTAACAGGTGTACACCACACTCTTGGGTTTTTATTTGATCAGGGAGGAGAAAGTGGAATACAGTCTTGTGTTCAGTTACTTGTTAAGTGTCTTCATCTTCCTGATTTCACTTTTTTAAAAAATGTTAAGGTAAGAGCCATCGCGAAAATATATCTTAAAATGCATTGTCATCTTTAATTAGGGGCAGATGACTTTTTTCATTGTAATGTCACGAGTCCTTATATTGAGTTAGACTCGCTCTGTTTAAATGTCGTCTTTGAATCAAGTTGAGGTCAAAGCCAAACCATAGAACCTGTCCACTTTTCCTCTGTCGTTTTCTCTAGCATGGCATCAGAGTAGAAACTCTTCAACAAACTGCAAAAGTCACGTGTAAACTGATGAAAATTAGTGAAAAATTGTGGACAACTGCAAGTAATCGAATTTTTCAAACTGAGTTAAGCTAGCTAAGACGTGGATTTGGTTCGTCCGAAAATGGTTTGATTATAGGCATTTTGAAGATCTATTCTTATCTGTTTCCCCTAATTTAGTTTGGATACTGTTTAATGAAAGAGGCCTGAAATAGTTTCACGCATTCAAAATATTTGGCTCTTCCCACTTTCTGAGTAAATTTTTTTTCCCACATCCGTGTTGATTACTCGGTTACCTGAACTTTTAAAAGTCTCTCTCTGGGTGACTGCACCGTTGGTGCTGTCTGATTCATTCAGGAGGATAGGCTGCTGCTGCTTGATGACCTCAGAGAACTTAACTGCTTTATCTTAAAAGTGAGAGTAGTTTTGTTGACCTTGTCTTGTGAGGTCTAAGGCCAAAGGAAGGGGAGTAGGTATTAAGGAGGAACCTCTATTTTTATGCCTAGGTAACCCTACTTTTCAAAAATAGAAACCAAAGTGCAGCAGCCTCCATAGAGAAGCTTGTAAAATATTGTATTTTAAACTTTGACTGAAATAGCAAGTTTTTCCTTTTTCCTATTCTTTTTTTTTTTTTTTTTTGGTATATTATGGGTCATTCTTCTCTCTCTGCAGGTGCAGTTTTAGAAAATAAAGTATTGCATATTAAACAAAGTACAGTAGCTTGAATGTGAGAGTCACTTGTGTGAAAGATGAAAATCTTGCTTTCTTATCCAAATTATGCTATCCATTTGAAATAAATCAGTATTTTTCATGTGTGCTTGCCTTTAAGCTGCTTAAAGGCTGAGATTTTGCTGGGTAAACTGAGAAAACTGTAGTGCTGGCTAACTTTAAAGCATACTGTTGATATACTGGTGAAAATGGGTTGTGAAGAGAAATTTGGAAACCTCCCCTTCTCTATGATTGGGCAAGATATTTCTTTTCCCTATAAACATACTTGTCACCTCAAAGAAAAGAAGCCTAAAAATTGGCAGCTGTGGGCAAAATTTACCATGAAAATGATGTGATCAAGCAAAGGCGTTTTCTCTAGTCAAAGTAATTTTTCAAGTTTGCATACTCCGGAATAAGCAAAGTTTTAGGAATTATTATTGACTACAAATTCTGTGATAATTGATTTCTCAAAAAGTTTATTTAAAAATTATAGATTATGCATACTAAATAGAATGACAGTCTAGACTTGACTGCTTATTTCTGTCTTGAGGTCATTAGGAGGCTAATTTTTGGTTGTTTTCTCATGCCAGATTATCACCATGAGGTATATAAGATCCCAGAATTCAGCAACGATGTTAATGGGCAGGCCAAAGAGACACAACCCATTTTTTTAGGTAGGTTCCTGTGTCAATTAATTTCTCAGCAAAACATCGTGGCCATTTGCAATTAGGGGGAAAAAAGGAAATTGTTGAGGAACGGGAAATGTCTGCCATTGCTTAATGTATGACATTCTTTTCAAGACCTTTTATTTTACAGATTGCCAATATATCCCTTATTAACATTGCTAAAAGTTGTAATTTCAGACATAAATGTTTATTAGTGTCTACACACAGTGCTAATTATCACTCACTCACAGAGCCAGATGCTGACTGTGCAGTTTTGTGGCTCTGCGCTTACCCCATTTACATTGCATATTCGCTGGCATGCTTCACTGGCAATAGTTTGTGTAATTGGGGTATTACATCTTTGACATCTGGATAACAGAAATTCAATTTCCAGGAAGCTGCTATTTGTTTGGTTTTGCTTCTGCCTTGGGTGGGATAGAGGATTAATGTGCTGTCTTATTATAATGTCCCTTCACCTCTGTGGCCCAGTTGCTAATCCTGCCATGACAAAATTAAATTAAATCTACAGTCAAAAAGCATAAGGAAAATAAAAATGTGATTGTCTGCCTAACCAGCTCTTGATAGTGCTAGTTATCGTCGGGCAGCTCGTGCTCCTTTGACACCAGCATTTTGGGGTGGGGGAACTGCATGCTTTCCTCCTACTATCCTTGTTCCCAGCTCACCTCAGGGGTGAGCAGGGCTAAAGCAGCATCTCCAAGACTTTCCAGCAAGTGTAGCTGCCCGATGGCTGGGTAGGTAGCCACAAACATTGCCACCTTTTCCAGGTGCAGTGTTGGTGCAAATACTGTGCAGGAAGGACTTAGGATGTATAATTTTTTTATTTGCACACCATCAGCCAAAAATGAAACCATTGAGGATTTTGCCTCTGAGAGTGAAGTAACCATAAGGTCAGAGGGGAGAGTAGATGGTGGCGTTTGGCTTTAACCTTGTCCGCCTCAGACCTCTGCAGTCGCAGGTAGCAGGGTGAGGGCCCAGCACTGCACAGCAAGGAAGCAGAACATGAGAGGTGTCAGAGTGAGAGTGATTACAAGCAAGGCCACGATTACCCCATCAAGGGAAACTTCAGGTAGCAGGACTGCCGCTCAGACCCAGTGTGGGTCTTCCTTCAGACAAAGCTCTTGCCAGAATCTCTCTGGTTTTGCTTTGAGGGGTGGAGAGGGTGGGTCAGGATGCACGGGGAAGAAGTCAAATATTAATATATAGGTTGAGAGGAAAAATAGGAGGGAAATGTCAGCATTTCTTACATGAGCGATGATGGAGGGCATGTGGATCCTTCTGCCGAGGGAAAGAATATTACTGGGGCCAGCGCTGCTTCCAGGACCTGTTTACTGTTAGGAGAGCTAGGAGCCAAAAGGTTAATAATCAAGTAAAATGCTGTGGCCCAAAAAGAGAATATTCATGGATTTCAGTCTTTCCAGTCCCCTAAACTTGGTCAGTTAGAATTCTTTTTTTTTTTTTTTCTTTTTTTTTGGACGGGGGTTTTCCCTTTTTTTCCCGCGGAGAGTGTGCAATAGCACGATCTCAGCTCACTGCCACCTCTGCCTCCTGGGTTCAAGCGTTTCTCCTGCCTCAGCCTCCCGAGTAGCTGGGATTACAGGCACCTGCCACCATGCCTGGCTAAATTTTTGTATTTTTAGTAGAGATGGGGGTTTCACCATGTTGACCAGGCTGGTCTCCAACTCCTGACCTCAGGTGATCCACCCGTCTCAGCCTCCCAAAGTGCTGGGATTACAGGCGTGAGCCACCATGCTCAGTTCATCAGTTGGAATTCTGTATTATCAAAGTACCACTATGTATAGCCATTTGAAATAAAGAATTTGCCCTTTAGTAGGAAATGTACGTTCGCGATGCAAATGGATCACCATATCCTTGATTTAATTCTTCTCTAGCAATGCAGGCTTTCCCGTGCTTTCTGCTGTGTATTAGGAAGATGGTAAGGATGCTGTGAAGGAAGTGAATTATCAGGATAAGAGAGGGGAAACTGAAGAGCAACAAGACGCTAGTGCCCAGGACTCAGTGAGCTGGAAGCTCCTGAAGGTGGTAGACGTAGGTGGCTTTCCTTCCTCCTAGTCCGAGTTGAGGAAGATACAAGAATTCCAATGAAAGACCAGGCTTGGGATAGATACACTTTCAATGTGGTTGCTCCAGAAGGCCTTCAACATTGAGACAAAAGCCTGGGTGTGTGCTGTGTGTTATTCCCAATCTTTTGCTCATTCTGAAGGCATGACCTAGTTGGTTCCCAAATAACATTTTTATTTTGTGATCTCCAGGTGGGTTAAAAAAATAACGGAAACTGTCACAGAAGCATGATTTCTGGAGCAATTGGGAGTAGTTACTGATGGCCTCTGAGAGTAGGAATTTTTTGTTGACAGTGTTATGGCTTATAGTTCTATAGTTATCCTTTTCAAAACATAGATTTAAGCATTTCAGGCATGTTTATTTTATAAATTGCTGAAGCCTGTCCAGAAAGATGTAGAATTTTATGGGAAGCTTTTGACATCCAAGGGGGTTTGGTACCAAAATATAGAACTCTCTCTTTTATAACAAAGTACTGACGCACTGTCCCAGGGATGTTCTATAGGATTTTCTACGTTCAAACATATGTGTTGTTTTTAATGCTGTCTGCATCTGTAAGATCAAGGTTTATGTCCTAGGTGAAAAAGAGTCTTCCAGAATGTGACAGAGGTTTCTACATCAAGTCTACTTCTCTGGAACATTTTTAGGCTGTTAACTAAGGTAGCGCATCTCACATGGCAGGGTAGCTTGGTAGTATAAATGGCTTGGCCGTGTGCTTTAGGAATTACTCACTTTTTTTTTTTTTTTTTTTTGAGATGGAGTGCAGTGGCAGGATCTCAGCTTACTGCAACCCCCGCCTCCTGGGTTCAAGCAATTTTCTTGTCTCAGCCTCCCGAGTAGCTGGGACTACAGTAGCCACCACGCCCGGCTAATTTTTTGTATTTTTAGTAGAGATGAGGTTTCATCGTGTTAGCCAGGTTGGTCTCGATCTCTTGAGCTCATGATCCGCCTGCCTCAGCCTCCCAAAGTGCTGGGATTGCAGGTGTGAGCCACCGTGCCTGGCCTACTCACATATTTTTAATTGGATGATAGGGTCAGAAGAGGTTACTTTACCCTGTGGACATTGACTTTCTCAAGCTGCTTGTGATGGGACTGCGAAGAAGATTTAAGCACCGTTTGAAGGAAAACAGTTGCTTTAAATCAATTCAGCCAGTGTCTTTATAAGAACATACTCTGAACTCAGCTCTTTTCTGGGATGGGAGTGGGGTCAGAGATAGTCGCAGAAATGGATAGGACACGGACCTTGATCTCGGGCATTCAAATCCAGTTGGGGAGGAAATTGGACAAATTCGGGAAACAGGGAGCAGTGTTCAGCAATCGAAAGGGCTGCAGTTGTTTGCGCACTTACTGTGTGCAAGGCAGGATGTTGATCACTTCATCCGAAAGACCTGATTTGCTCTTCATAGCATGTCTGTACGAATTCTCATCATCCCCATGTTGTAGATGAGCCTAGAGATGTCAAGGTGACCTGCCCAGGGTCTCCCAAGTAGGAAGTGCCACAGGTGGGGCTCCAGTGCACCTCTGCCTGAGCGTTGAACACTCCACTTAACCGCCTCTCTGTGAACAGTAATTAAATGACAAATGTGAATGGTTGGGGCAGTAGTAAATGCAGAGCTGGAAGGGGCAGAGGGGAGGGCTCTGCAAAGCAAAGCTATTGAACTACAGGAAAGAGTTGCCCTGTATTTCTCCTCCCTGGAGAAGATTCCAGGTGGGAAGGGCGAGGGAGCCACCAATACCATCATTATAAATCAACCATGAGTGCTGCGCTTTATGGTTTAGAAAGTGCTTTACATCTGTTTTCTTACCATATACCTGTGGAGTGTTTAGGGCAGATGATGATTCCTGTAATAATGGGAGCCGAAGCTCAGTTATCTGACCTGCTCATGAATAGGACCTGCTCAGAATAAGCTCAGTTATCTGACCTGCTCAAAGAGGACACACTCGAAAAGGCCGGAGGAACCCAGGCCACCTCTCAAAGATCTTTCCCCTCTGCCATGCAGAGCCATACAAAGCCTAGGCGCATGGGGGAGACCTTAGCTGCTAGCAGGAGACTTTTAGAAGTGTTTTAATGAGACAATTAATTTTATTATTCATAGCAGTAATGCAAATATTAAATGAAGTCCGTTTTTATACATTGAATGTTGGGTTAGCTTTATCATAGTATGTACGTTTGAAACATGTTTCTTTTTCAGGTGTTCAGTCTCATTCATTTATGCATTCAACAAAAATTCATTGCGCTCCATGTGCATCCATGCCAAGCCCTGTTCTCGTTATGCTTTTTCATGTTCAGTTCAGTTGTTCAGCTTTCTGTAGATTAAGCACACAGGATGGCAGTTGAGATCTCTGAAACTCTGAATCTCTCTCTCTCTCTCCCTTTTTTTTTGGAGACGGAATCTTATTCTGTCGCCCAGGCTGGAGTGCAATGGTGTGATGTTGCCTCACTGAAACCTCTGCCTCCCAATTTCAAGCGATTCTTCTGCCTCAGCCTTCTGAGTAGCTGGGATTACAGGCACACACCACCACATCCAGCTGATTTTTGTATTTTTAAATAGAGATGGGCTTTCACCATGTTGGCCAGGGTGGTCTTGAACTCCTGACCTCATGATCTATCCGCCTCAGCCTCTCAAAGTGCTGGGATTACAGGTATGAGCCACTGTGCCCGGGCAACTCTGAATCTCTTTTCAGTGGCTTTCTCGACGACAGCTGCCCCCACTAGAGTCCCCAGAATCTCCCCAAAGAGGACACACTCAAAAAATTCCTGTGCGTGTTTACAAGTTAGAGAGTTAGTTCCTAGCCACAGCATCATTCTCCTCCCTGGCGAATTGGGCAGGTCGGTTTGTAAGATGGAGGAGTTCTTCTTCACCTGGAATCAGGTGGCCTGGGTCCCACCCTGGTTCTTGGTTGGTTTCAGA